GTCAGGGGCGAGAAACTTGAGACCGTCAACAGCTTCGAATAGATCTACCTTGGATCAATCATCTCAGATGAAGGCTCAAAACCAGAAATGTTCTCCAGAATCGCGCAAACAACAGCTGCGCTGTCAAAACTGAAGCCTATTTGGAGGTGCAGAAACATCACGCACAACTAAAAAATCAGACTAATGCGCTCACTGGTCATCTCAATATTTTTATACGCCTGCGAGTCGTGGACACTGACAGCAGAATTCGAGAAAAAGACTCATACTACAGAGATGAGATGTTACCGCAGACTCCTTGATATCTCGTACAAAGACCACGTTTCAAATGCTGAGGTACGAAAGAGAATCACCAACACAGTGGGGCAGCATGAAGATCCACTGACCACAGTGAAGAGACGAAAATTAAACTGGTATGGGCATATTTATGTCACAAGATCCACAGGAATTGTCAAAACAATCCTGCAAGGAACCGTACAAGGAAAGAGAAAGAGAGGAAGGCAGAGAAGGAGATGGGAGGGCAACATTACAGAGTGGACAGGAAAGACGATGGGTGACAATCTGAGGAAATCAGAGGACAAAAATAGATGGCGAGAGCTGGTTTTCAGATGCAGTAGTGCCCCCGTTTGCCCCACCACGGGATAGGAGAAGAAGAAGAAGATCTTTACAAAACCTGGAGTAACCAGCGATCGTCTCACTTAATTTATCTATACTCACAGCCCACTGCAGCATAATTATTGTAGTAAAGGTAGATTTTTGTCACATAAACACAATCACAGGGCCTATCTTATCCCCAGTCAACACCACAGTCATATTGTCCCTTATCATGAAAAGCACAAAACTTGTTGTTGTACAGCAGGTACTCATGAGATGTTTGTTGTCCATATATTCGACCCTCCATACTAGGATAACCTTCGAACTTCAATTTAACCCCGACCAGATTGTGCGATCTTATCCTATTTACCTTTCGATGTGTGAGGCAGGAGCTGTAAATAAACAATTTATGTGTTACAGTCTAAGATAATCACCTCTACAAACATCCCCCCCCCCCCCCCCCCCCAAAGCCAAAGAAATATTGTTAATAATATTATTAATATAATAATATAATGGCACCGAGAAGGGCGTCTACCTACCTTGAACAACCACTTTTCCCCTAGACAACGGGTGGCCGTCTTGGACAATTTTGACAGCATATTATATAGATGTATATATGAATTATATATGAACGCATCCCTTTGAATCTTTGGATTTCGTGACCTGTGAAGTAGCTGCCAATTCGAATGTTGTTTCCAATTTCTAATAGAAGTGCGACATGCGAATAAATTAATGTAAAAATATTCACTTTGTATGCGTCTCTTCTGCCAGACGTATAAAAAGGGCTATTGTATTTCTATTTTCCATTCCATTCGACGGACGGATAGTGAACTTTAAACTACGCGTGTTCAGTTCTCTTCATCAAGTCCAAGGGACGAGTCGAGGAACGCACCATGGTCAGCAGAGAGTGAGGCTCTTTATCTTTTTTTGGGGGGGGATTATGTTTTCTTTTTATTCGGACAGATCTGTCGCTGAAACTATTGTTATTGTAGAAGCTACAGCAGCGGCAGCAGAAGTAGTAGTAGTAGTAGTAGTAGTAGTGGTAGTAGTAGTAGTAGTAGTAGTAGTAGTAGTAGTAGCAGCAGTAGCAGTAGCAGTTGCAGTAGTAGCAGCAGCAGCAGCAGCAGCAGCAGCAGCAGCCGTAGCAACAGCGAGAGCAGCAGCAGCAGCAGCAGCAGTAAAAGTAGTAGTAGTAGTAGTAGTAGTAGTAGTAGTAGTAGTAGTAGCAGTAGTAGTAGTAGTAGTAGTAGTAGTAGTAGTAGTAGTAGTAGTAGTAGTAGTAGTAGTAGTAGTAGTAGTAGTAGTAGTAGAAACTGCAGTAGCAGCAGCAGCAGTAGTAGTTGTAGTAGTAGCAGTAATAATAAGAATACATTACATTTATATGCCGCATTTTCTTTACAACAAATCAGAGAAGAGCCCTCGTGGTCTAGAGGCACGGTAATCGCCTCTCATTCAATAGGTATCGGGTTCGAAACCTGACAGCGACGAACAATTATTTTCTTCTCTAAAATATTTTCCTTTCACTTCGTTCCTGCTCTCTAGTCGTGTTATGTCATCTGCTTTCATCTCCACTTTTTGATCCACAACATGCCCCCCCCCCCCCCCTACTCTGGGCTCCAGTCTCGTTCTACTGCTATTCTTGGCTCTTTCTTACTACTGTCTGTCAGCCACATCCCTGATCTTAAGGTAGGCAAGGTCGAATATGCACTCTTCTCGGGAAAGGGTGAAAGATCTCGGAGGTCTCTTGGGCGAGTTGCGCACGTTTAAGATCCCTTGGTGTTCCAATGTAACAGTAGGCTTCGGCTGCGACTCGGGCAAAATTCAAAATTAATTCTTACCATATTGAAACGCGTGCCGCGCAGATCAGTCTCTGTTTGGACGTGTGGATGTGGGATGTAGGGTTATCTCTACTGTACGGGTACGTAAGTGGACAGAAGTACCAGTAACAGCCCAAACTCGAAGGAAGAGAAAGACTTGTACGCAAGCATAAACGACATGTAATTCCTTATTAATCTCATCAGGGGTGATTAGATCAACAAACAGACTGAAGTCGCCGGCTATAATACGCGGCCGTTCGGACGTTTCACAGACCATAAACAGGAACGGGCGACAAAACAATTAATCCGAATTCTGAGTATTGACGAAACAGAAAAAAAATATAAAGTAGGTTGGGCCTGGGATCTGAAAGATGAAACCCGTTTTGAAACGAGGGCTAAAA